CACAACCCACGACAAGAGTGGCACTGGAATAGGGAGAGCAGGAGGGTGAGGGGGGTGAAAGAGTGACTGTGAGGGCGTGAGTGGGAAAGGGTGAGTGGGAAAGGGGTAATGAGAAACACTTAGAATATTGAGAAACGAAGTGAGGAGAGAAGTTGAGTTTGGAACAACCTACGATGAGTGTGGCGCTGGGGTGAGGGATGCAAAAGAGGGACTATGAGGGAGTGAGGTGAGTGGGAAAGGTGGAGTGAAAGGGTGAGTGTGAAAGGGTGATTGTGAAAGGTTGGGATCGAAAGCGTGAGTGGGAAAGGGTGGGTAGGAATGCGTGAGTGGGAAAGCGTGGGTGGGGAAGGGTGGAAAAGGCCACTATTGCATCAAGTCCACTCTGCAAAAAGGCCCAATGCAATGCCAGCAAGGAGAAGAGCATAGAGGTGAGGGGGTGGAGGATTGGCAGGGAAAAGGGTGAAATGGGTAAGGCGCACGTGCAGCGCACCTTCAATAGCGTACACTTCTTGCCCTCCCACGTACCAGTAAGTCCCCACATCACAAAGGTCGTACCGGGACAAGGGATGAGCAAGCGTAGGAGGGCCACCCATTCCTGCTCTTAAACCTTCTTTCACCCTTCCACGTACCAATAATCCCCCACATACATCCCAGAGGCGGTAGGAGATGGGGAATGCGAGCAGGCAGGGGGGTCGGTGCACTGCACGTCCCCATTACCCCACAACATACCCTTTAGAGTTAGAGCCAGGTCGTTCTTCAGCCACCTGCTCTCATTAGTGCTGCTACTACTGGCGGCGTCCCTGTTGTTGCCGTTGCTGTCCTCGTCACTCCGATTGGTCCCCAAGGGGCGAGACCCAATAAGCAGGCAACAAGACCCATGCGTGTATGCTGCACTCCTCCCCCCGCACGCACAAACTGAATCCCCTGCCGCCCACCACCACTCCCCTGCTGCTGCTGCCGCTGCTGCTGCTGGGGCTGCTGCAGCTTCTGAGGGGGCTGCTGTGGTTGCTGCTCCTCCTAGCATGGTGTGTTTCCGTGGCCAGAGCATCGGTAAAAATTGGGGTTGAGGAGTTGGGGGTCACACCGTCACATCAGAGTAGGTACTCTTAGCACCCCAACTGCGGCTGCCTCTACTGTACGCAATTCCTCTAGGAAGCACCAAGGGGGCAGCTACTACTGCCAGTCCCCCTCCTGCTACTGCTACTACTGGTGCTCGTGCGGTGGTGGGGCTGACCAGGGCATCTGCGCTGGTTTGTGTGTGAGGGGTCTGGGGCACACGGAGTGTACGCTCTTGGCACGTCTCTCTAAACTGCCCCTGCCCCTCGCAATGCTGCTGCTGCTGCTACTCCCCGTGGTGGTGCTACTGCTGCTGCTCCTGGTATTGTTGGTGACCGCAATGGGCCATGTGAGGGATTGGGGGCACACGGATTGGGTGATTCATTTCCTCCTGCCTCTCCTCGATGCCTCGCCCTCGCTGTTTCTCGCAGGGAAGGGGGGGGGGGGTGTGTGGGGGTGTGGGGGGGAGAAGCAGCAGGGGGGGAAGGGAGCAGCAAGGGGAGCAAGCAGAGGGGGGAGGGAGCAGCGAGGGGAGCGAGCAGCTGGGGGAGGGGGCAGCGAGGGGAGGGGGCAGCGGGGGGAGGGAGTAGCAGGGGCAGGGAGCAGCAGGGGGAGGGTGTACCTGACGGCCTGAAGGGGAAGCATGTACCTGAGGACCAGCAGACGTGTTGAGACGCATCATCGACTGGAAATCACGCCGACTCCTTGGAATCAAGTGGCAGCACCCCCTTAGGATTGTCCGGTCGACTCAAATCCGACCCGCCGCTGGCTACTTGCCAGGTAGGTACAACGACAAACACCTTTTGAGTCGACACAAAACTCTGCTCATACCCGACTCACCAGGGTGACTTCTGAGTCGACTCAAAAGGCATCTTAGGATTGTTTGCTCTGCTCAAATTCGACTCGCTGCTGCATGCCTACAAGGTGCAACCGTGCCACGGCAAACGGTTGGAACACTCGACTACTTGGCACGTGAAATAGATGGAATAAACTGGTTCTCCAACGGGCGAGCGGTTTTTGAGAAGCGCACGAATCTGATGGCAGGCTGCGGCGAGTAGGAGGCAGGCTGCGACAAGTAGGAGGCAGGCTGCAGTGAGTAGGAGGCAGGCTGCGGCGAGTAGGAGGCAGGCCGCAGCTCAAGGATGATGACAGACTAGCAGCGCACAGCTGGCATTACAAGCGCAAGTGGTGATGATCACATCATGCATGATTGCATCGCGCACTGCACCCATTGGATGCCGAGGTCAGTCGCGAGTGTTTCTTGTTCCGGGAACAAGTCGGGCGGTGTGGAGACGGCGGCAGTGGGGTCGGGCTAGGGACGTATCTTCATGATGGAGGTGAGCTGGCGAGCTCGAGCAGCGGCGCGCATACGAGCAGTAGCACAACAAACCCACCAATACCTATCCACAGCCATTGCTGATGACCTCTTGCGTTAGGACATGCGCAGAGAAAGAGCGGAACGGACAGTACGGGGGGGCGCCTAACAGGTCTACAGCTTCGGCTTCTTACAGCCAAGCTTCCGCATTGGTCTGACAGTGCGTTGCGTTAGGAGGTCATTCCCAAGATGGTACTTTGGGATGATGGATCATAACACCCTACTAGTGCTTCCTTCCAGTGTTACGATCACGCAGGTTACATAGGGGAACCGAATGCACGAGGGTGAAAGAAACCAGAATGTACTGTGGAAGTTATTGAATGACAGTGTAACGCGGATCAATAGACGTAAACAAGCTAGCTGAAAGTGGTTCGGAAGGGGGCCAAAAGGTGTCGGGGCGGCGGATGTGGTTTGGGGCAAAACGTAGGCCAAACAGGGTGATGAAAGGTCACCGGAAAGTACCCGCAATAGTGTGAGGCAGGAAGGAACACATATTTTTCACATGCAAAAACAACTACTTCATCCATACATGGTTCTTTTGCTAGGTCCGAGAGTACGAGGGGTGGTTTCCTTGCTAGCTTTTGAACCTGCCTGATGCATCAGACGGACCCTCGGGCCCGTCTGATCCATCAGTTTTTCTGTGTTTTCTCTTGTCTGATTTTCCAGCCTACCTGTTACGAGTGCAGTGTAGCAAAAAAGCGAGGATTGCACTAATTTCTCAAGCGATTACAAGGTATGAGCGAAGGCATGAGCAAGCAAAACATGCAAACGGTAATGCGGTGCGTGCGAGCTAGCTAGTGCGATGCTGACAGCGTGTGTTCAGGCTAGTTTCAAAGCGTAGGCTAAATCGGTCAGGCCAGCGATGCATGTTTGCATATGCAGCGCGCAAAGGTGGCGAAAGCTCCGTTAGCTAGCTAGCCTGAACACACGTGTCCTCCTCACGCCATCGTGAACGCACACTACGCGGCCCAAACTGCCGAACACGCACGATCATAGACCCCGCCTGATCGCATGTCATCGCGACCACGTGTCCGTTCTAGCCACGGGGGGCGAGGTTGAGGTATGGAACGAATGCTGAAACGCCTGCTCCCTACCCCTTTCCGCCTCCTCGTTTTTCCCGGAAACACCTTCCCGATTTGCCATCCCGCCCACCCCGTTTCCCCCCTTCTCGCCACCCCAATTCACGTTCCAGCCTCCCCGTTTCCCCTTCCCGCTCCCCGCATCCCCTTTCTGCCTCCCCAATTCCCCTTTCCGCCATCGCATTTCCCCTTCCCGTGTCCCGATTACCCCTTCCCGCCTACCCGGTTTTCCTTCCCGCCCATTATTTCCCCTTTCCGCCTCCCCGTTTCCCATTCCCGCTCCCAGTTTCCCCTTCACACATTCGCGTTTCCCCTTCCCGCTCCCCATTTCCCCTTCCCGCCTCCCCGTTTCCCATTCCTGCTCCCCGTTTCCTCTTCCCACATTCATCGCAAAACAGGGGGGAGCGGATTGCGAGATGCTTGAATCTTGTTCGTATGTTCCTCGTTTTCCAGGTGTTGGGAATCATGCGAGAATGTTGCTCGCATGATTCGTGGGAGTGTTGTTTGGGTGTTGCACGAGGTGTGAAGTGGTGTGCGTGTTTCTGGGTGTTTGATGTCAACTACGTAGGCTCGGCTGGTAGGTTTGGTGGCATCAAATTGTAGATCGCGCAATACAGTTACCAACAATTTGTAACAAGAAGCGATCTTATTTGTAGTGCGTTAAATTTATCTTGAGTAGTCACACCTCTGGATTTTTTAAATTTGCGGGTTTTGTTGTTTTGAAATTGAATATCCGACCCACGCGGGCGTATAGATTGTTTAGTAAGTGTTAATTCTCTATATATTATTTGTTTGCAATTGTTCTTCTATTGTTGTGCAATGAAGTAGGGATATTTTTGTTCATAGTAAGAGCTGAATAAGTGTGTGTAATTGTTTTGTTACTATACTTTTAACAATGTTGAAGTATGTAATAGAACAATACCGTATTTTATACCCATTCACTTTTACAGCATTCAGGAGATGCTGCCAATAGTGAAATCTGATCCCACCAGAACGACTGTTCTGGTTACAATGACAGGTGGCGATCCAGATGTCATCGATATTGCTGATTGGGTACATCCTTGGGTAAGCAGCCGCCTAACCCAGATGTTGCCACGCGTAGGGGTTTGGACGGTGGGGAGGCAAGTTTTCGGTTTTGAACTGGAGCGATAAAGGGCGTCTACGAAAATGGTCGCCGACATCCTTGGACGAATGTCGGAGAATCGTGACGGTAGGAATTTTTTATCCAAGGATTAGAATTTCCCGACATGACAGATCGGAAGTCTAGGGAGTGTCCGAATCAGATTTCGGATTACGCCCTGAAATTTCCATAGTTGATCCACTTCCGAGCAGGGTCACAGGGGTTCTGGGAACCCCCCGTCATTTTGTTGTGTCTATTCCATTCTTTCCTGTTTTTCCTATTCACCTAGCCCGTGTCTCCGCCTTCAGATGCTCCAAGTGCCTGCTCTGCCCTTGGTGTTGTTTCAACTTCGCAATCTCATACACTTTTGATGCGGGAAAAGGGTAGTAACTGCGGTAAGTTTATGTAGTCGTTGTTACTACTGCTGTTGTTTTGTTGTCTGCCATATTCGTTTCTTCTAGCGCAGTTCAATCTCATTTTAGCGTTGTTTTGATCTGATACTATTTTTGTTAAGTTGATTTCTGCTCAACGTGAACCGTGATCACAACCTTTTTTTCGTCTTCGCAGGATTCGCATTCAGCCACGCAACCAGTGTAACGAAGGCCATCACCACTCCCTCACGCAGCAGCCTGCATTCCGCCACCGTTGGATCAGATCCTTCGCGCGACGACTGCGACGTTAACTCCCGACGCCGTGGAAAGCTCGAGCATTTGTTGGTTCAACTTTCTGGTGGGTTTGTGATTATTTTTTTAAAGTCTGGAGTTTGGTTGCCAATGTATATTTGTATCAGTGTATATTCTCAGTGTGGCCTTGTTATAATGCCCCATTACGTACTCTTACATACTCTATTTCGCTTGCAGGTTCAGCTTTCAACCACCCAACGGGTTAGCCATCGCCATCAACAAACGCCACGCTGCTGATTCCGTACCACCCTCAACTGCAAGCGTGCTTGTCCCGCCGGTGCCCGATTTTTTACCACTAGTTTAGGTTGGAGTGGTAGTCGTCTCTGGCTGGTGCACAAGTGTGTGTACGCTGTAACTTTATGAGGATTTTTTAAATCCAACACCTTTTTGTTATGGCTGACCAGGAAGGGCTGTACACTTGTGACCAGGATGGTTGTAAAGTCACCTTCAAAACCTCACTTGAGAAGGCATGTCACCTTGCTCGTGGGCAGCACGTGTATCGCGATGCAGCGGAGACTTCGTCTCGAGCTCCTGCTGGTGGTGGAGATGAGGAGTACGCAGCCAGAATTCGTGAGGCTGGTGAAGCCTTAGAAAACCAGAGTAGAAAGAGGAGAAGATCAGCAGCAGCATAAGAGGCAGATTTGGCTAGCCGACCGCTGCCTGCGGTGGGTAGCGCACAGCTAAACGCCGATACAACCGGATATGACTTTTCCCCGCGCGCTAACCCAGCCGTACTGGACATCGATTCTCAGCTCTTCAGATTCTGCAAAACAGCAGCGGGTGGAATGGGACTTTCAAGAGCAGACAGAAAGGAGCTGATCGACATCATCATTGAAGCTCTTGAAAATCCCGGCAAAGTGAACCTGAAGTCCTTAGCAGAATTCAGTAGGTATGAAGAGGCGAAGACGGCAGAGGCAGATCTGACAGTTTTTTTGAAGGTGGACGTGAGCAAACCTGGCGGTTCAAAACCAATATACCTATATTGGAGGCAGACCATGTCGTGTGTTCGTGGATTGTATCAAAATCCTGCAAATGCTGACGGTTTTGTAGTCGAGCCGGAAGTTTTACCTGAAAAGGCGCATGTTATTTATAAAGGTCTAGAGACTGGATCATAGTGGCGCAGTGTACAATCCAAACTGGATGAAGGCGAAGTGATAGCGGCGGTAATTATTTATCCCGACGAGACAACACTAACGACCGATGGTGGTGTTGTTGGATGGCCGGTACGTTTCACTGGCAAACATATCTTCGGCGAATCGCTGGAAATCACATGGCCATCGCTTGCGCGCTCTACTACCAAAGATTGACAATCAAACGTTATCAAAGGCGGAGGAGACGCGGCGGCGACACGAGGTGTTTCAAGAGGCTTTATGACTAATACTGGAAGAACAGCGCCACTTTGAAAAAGAGTAAGCTCGTTTGTTGTTTTTTAACTAACCTTGCAATTCATTTTCTGCATAGTTCGCTAACTTGTTTGAAGTATTGTGTTTTTTTGTTGCTTTCCAATATTGTCCCCTTGTGCAAGGCAAATGTGCCTTTAGGCACACGTACGACAGTATCGCAAAGGATTGTATGCGGAGTTTTTTGTGCGCGTCGAACTTCGCGAGCACAATTGACCCCATCGGAACTGCCGGTTTCAGATACAATCTGACTCGATAAGAGTTCTTTTCGACATATAGTCACGTTCGTGTGTTTAATCCTTGTTCATATTTTCTGAGTGGTGGTTTTTTTTTTGTTTCGTTTTTTTTTTTTTTTAACAGAGGGGAGCTTCTGACCGATCCATACGGGGTTCAGCGCTGGGTGTATCCTGTGACATACGCGTACGTCGGTGACTATCCCGAACAGTGTAAGGTCGCCGGTACGAAATCAGGGATGAGCACCGCCTTTCCGTGTCCAAAGTGTATGGTTCATCGAACGAAACTGAACGATATGACACAGCCCATAGTTTATAGAACTGAGGAGCAGCAAAAAAAGTTAGTGAGTGGAATAGAGAGCGCGCCGAGCAAAACTAGAAGAAACAATTTGGAGGTCGAGCATAGTACGCACGGGGTCGTGTGTGCGCTATGGGGCTTTCGCTTTGCGACAGAGGAGTTTGGGAATCCGTATAGGGCACTAATCGTCGATCTTATGCACATGAGTAGTTTAGGCGTCTACAAGCATATTTTAGGGTGTTTAAAACTGCAGTTGTCGGGCGAGGTATTGGCAGCGATGGATGCGGACCTAGCAAATATTACTGACTTTAGTCGACAGTCGTTTTTCCGGATCCCGGCGCATACGGACGGCTATTTCAGTGGTAGCAATACATTTTACGCATTTCAGCACCAGGCGGTTATGCAGGTTCTGCCCGTCCTACTTATGCGACAGAATGTGAAACGGAAGACTCTTGGGACGATCGAGCTTTTTTGCCAATGGCACGCGCGCGCTTGGCACCAAGCATATCATACTGAGGATACGCTTGAAGACTTGGAGAAGATGACACGAAAGTAAGTTATTTTATGTGTAAGGTTCTTTTGGTTATGCCAAACTGTGCTTTCTGGTCCAGTTCCAGTACTGTTCTTGTTTCTTCACAACTGTGCCTTTAAGGTCGCGCGAGCCTCTAAAATGACGGACTCTAAGATGTTTTTGTTGCGCGCGTCAAATTTCCGTCTCCTCTAAGTTTCGTTCGAGGACCACAACGTTTACTCGATACAATGGCTCTCGTTTATGAGTCTAATTTAATTCGAGGCTCATTCGCATATGTATTCGGGTTACTGAAAAAGAGTGAATGTTCATTTTTTCCGCAATGGTTTTGTCGTCGATTCAGAATCCGACTCCTCAAGAATATTGGTTTCCAATTATTATTTTCCGTATTTCTCCATGTTTCGTATATTATGCGTTTGCAGACTTGTCCCACAGCTACTGGAACAATTTGGGGAGGACCAAGCGTCAGAGTTTAATATTCCCAAGGTGCATGCAATGCTGCATGTAGCGGACGACATCCTGCGTGGAGGTGTGCCGGTGCATTATTGCACGGATTTGTACGAGCATGTGCACATCGCCCTTGTCAAGCGCCCTTACCGCGGGTCCAACAAACGGAATGCAGAGGCATGTCGAAACAAGCTAGGCAGAAGTTAGGAACAGAAAGAGGGTTTGAACTAGCAGGCAGTTGAGTACAAATAGCAAACCCTAGATTGGGCTGTACTCGCTATAGAGTACCCCACTGCAGGCTAGACAATATAACATTCTGACACACCCCCATAGCCAAAGTGGGGTGTAATCAGCACAACAAGCAGTCACAATAGCAATAGTTCATAAATTATGAGCAAAGGTAGAGGCAGTCACTGAGGGCAAGTGAGGAGGAGGAGGGCTGGCGAGAGGAGAGTAGATGGGAGGCGACGACTGAAGCTGCAGACACACGGGCAACAGACGGCTCTGGTGCAACGCTAGTGGCTACCGGGAGCAAGTGCCCCGGAATACAGGAGTAACTGGCTCTGCGTCTGATCAGCAGCGACAGGAGCAACGGACCCACGGGCGACAGGTGCAACCGGCTCTCTGAGCTACCGGTGGCTATCAGAACCCCGGAATACAGGCGCTGCGGACGACACGACGGCAACCTCCACTCAATCTCCCCCAACAGTCCCACACCCCTCGACACACACCCCCTGCTGCGCCCCTAGCTCCACTCCCCCTTCACCCCCCTAGCACCACTCCTTCGGCTCCCCACACAACCACCCCCCTGAGCGGCAGCTGCAGCAGCGGGAGACGAAGGAGGAGGAGGAGGAGGGGACGGGGCACACAACCGGCACCCCCACAACCGCCACCCCCACACTCCCCACCCCCAAACCCTAAAACGGGCGGAACGGGGGAAGGAGCGCGGGGGACGGCGAGGGGGACGGCGCGCGGCCCCCAGGGCGCCACCACGGGGCAGCGAGGGGCCGCGCGCGGCTCCCCAGGGCGCCGCGAAGGGGCAGCGGGGGGTCGCGCGTGGCTCCCCAGGACGGCGCGACGGGGAATCGGGAGCCGCGCGACGGGGTGGCGGGGCGACGCGACCACCGACGGGGCAGCGGGGGCAGCGCGCGGGTCCCCCACGATAGGAAACCGCCGTGCGCCTCGGGGCGCACGGCGGGCAGAAAACCGCCGCGCGCCCCGAGCGCACGGCAGGAAGAAGACGACGCACGCCCGAGGCGCGCGAGAAGCATAACAGCAGCGGAAGCAGTTAGGTGGTGGGCCCACCCACAGGATCGACCCAAGGGGGTCGACCTGCTCTGATAGCATGTCGAAACAAGCTAGGCAGAAGTTAGGAACAGAAAGAGGGTTTGAACTAGCAGGCAGTTGAGTACAAATAGCAAACCCTAGATTGGGCTGTACTCGCTATAGAGTACCCCACTGCAGGCTAGACAATATAACATTCTGACAAGGCATCGATCACCCGGCGCTGCTTGACGACCGAGTTGGTTGAGTCGATGGCTGCGAATGACGTTCCCGTCGAGGACAAGAAGGCACGGACCGTCGCCATGAAAGAAGTGAGTCATTGCGTCGGAAATTTATTTGTTTTTTTATACTTGGCATTTAGGGTGTTTCTTTGGGCTGTGTCTTTGTATATGTTCGAATTGTTTCCCGTCGCCTTGACACGTGTGTGTATTGAAGTTGCGTTGCTCAGCCTGTTTTGTACTTTCTTTGGGTTTCGGCTGGCACGTTGCCAAATCGCTTGTGTCGTTTTCGTACATACACATGTTTCTACCTCTTTCACGTGCACTTTTGATAACGTGCACTTTCGGGTGCACGCTTTTGCAAACACGATGACGGTGGCACCCCAACGTGGCGAGAGTGGACTCGCCGGAACATTTTACCGCAGTCTCGATAATTTGGAAAAGACAAACTCTGTCGTTCAAACAGTCTACTCCACCGACAAAAGTGCACGCTCGAGTGCCTTTTGCGTTTTGGCTCTTGCGCTGCAGCACGTAGTCAAGTTCCGTTTTTTATCGCGATGTTGCTCTTCTTTGAAAACGACACCTGCCCAGTGTGACTGCGAGCAGATGCAATATAGATGTGTTGGTGTACAAGGTAGATGTATAGACATTGAAATCGATAAACAATACACTAATATATCCAATTCTTCTTTCCACCCTTTTCTTTGCACATGCACTGGAGACCGGATCTCCTGCAGTCACCGGGTCTTGCGCGAAGATGGACTACACGGATAGGAAAGGCAACTTGTGGCGGACTT